GGCCAAAATAACGGAGTTATTTTACTTTGTAAATTTTCCAAAAAAAAAAATTGCTAAAATTTTGAGAACCACCAAATCTTTTCTAGATGTTCTTTCTTGTAAATTTAATCTAATACCTATGTTACCATATTATCAAGAAATTATGTTTTTTAACTAAAAACTAAAAAAAATTCCAAACAATTTTTCAAAAAATTTCGAATTTTCAAAATTCTTTTTTCGCGAAAAAAACCTCATAGGCGTGTTTCTGGGGTTGAACTATACCACCAGTTAAAATATTTGCACTTATTTACTCCGTTATTTTACTTTGTAAATTTTCAAAAAAAAAATTTGCTAAAATTTTGAGAACCACCAAATCTTTTCTAGATGTTCTTTCTTGTAAATTTAATCTAATACCTATGTTACCATATTATCAAGAAATTATGTTTTTTAACTAAAAACTAAAAAAAATTCCAAACAATTTTTCAAAAAATTTCGAATTTTCAAAATTCTTTTTTCGCGAAAAAAACCTCATAGGCGTGTTTCTGGGGTTGAACTATACCACCAGTTAAAATATTTGCACTTATTTCTGGGACACCCTATATACTTGGAATTTAGCAAAAACAATATAAACCAAAATCAACAACAAAAGCTAAACAAGTAACAACTTTACCCAAATGGTGTAACAAATATAACCGTAAAGTCTAACACACAAACAACACAAATTGCATAATCAAGAAATAATTAGTATTAATGTTTATGGCGCTTTTCCTCATACGTCAGTAGCTGAAGATCAAGACACAACAGACACGAGATGTTAATATTTTCAAAACGCAACCCGGAAAACCTTACCGATTTCACTGGAGCCTTGACCTTTAATCCATTTTCTTGATAGTTAGACAGATATATTTTAGTTTTTTGGGAGATATACAACAGTAGTTTTTACTTCAGACGAATGAAATCAGGAAATAAATTGTATGAATAATGAATTATTGAACATGTTAACATACATGTCAAACCACTACGTCAAAAAAGACTTTGATTTTAAAATCAGAAAGATAGAGATATAATTATTATACAAATTTAATTTATATAAAATTATATGCAGTTACCAACTAGTTATCTAAACAGCTAAAAAGAGATTCATAGAACACAAAAACTATATGAATACCGAATCCCACAGTAGCTCTCACAAATAAAGTATAGAAATAATAGTACTATTGTACGTGTTATGCCATAGTCAAAATTCTGTAACCATATGTGTAATATAAGCACACAAAGCTTTAAAAATAAACTGACAGGGAAACGAATAAAAAGTAAATCGTAGGGTTGTTAAAAACAATATTTTCGAATATACATACAAACATCAATTAAATTTGAAAAACAGCTAAGACAAGACCTAATACCTATATTGTTTTCGTTTTTTACAATTATTCGTGAGTATTGTATTTCAACTAAGAGTGAGCTTCACCATTATGAGTCAGTTGTACAAATTAAATTATAATTTTTTAGTGCCGACCCTTCAAATACAAGTTTGATATATCCCATGCCTCTGCTCCCAGCTTCAGAGGTATACATGTTGCACTCCATACTTTTCTCACTTTCCAGGCAGTATCTGCTATTAGTGTCTTCCCGTCGTATCAGCCCCCTTAATAGATGAATCAAGAAATAAGTAGTATTCATGTTTATGGCGCTGTTCCTCATATGTCAGTAGCTGAAAATCAAGGCATATCAGAAAGAAGATGTAAATATTTTCAACACATAACCGGCAAAACCTTACAGATTTCACTGAAGCCTTGACCTTTAATCAATTTTCTTGATAGTTTGACAGAGATACTTTAGTATTTTGGGAAATAGACCAACAGTAGTTTTGACTTCATACGAACGAAATTGTATGAATAATGAATTATTGAACATGTTAACACACATGTCAAACCACTACGTCAATAAAGACTTTGATTTTATAATCAGAAAGATAGAGATATAATTATTATACAAATTTAATTTATATAAAATTATATGCAGTTACCAACTAGTTATCTAAACAGCTAAAAAGAGATTCATAGAACACAAAAACTATATGAATACCGAATCCCACAGTAGCTCTCACAAATAAAGTATAGAAATAATAGTACTATTGTACGTGTTATGCCATAGTCAAAATTCTGTAACCATATGTGTAATATAAGCACACAAAGATTTAAAAATAAACTGACAGGGAAACGAATAAAAAGTAAATCGTAGGGTTGTTAAAAACGATATTTTCGAATATACATACAAACATCAATTAAATTTGAAAAACAGCTAAGACAAGACCTAATAACTATATTGTTTTCGTTTTTTATAATTATTCGTCAGTATTGTATTTAGATTAAGAGTGAGCTTCATCATTATGAGTCAGTTGTGCAAATTAAATTATAATTTTTTAGTGCCGACCCTTCAAATACAAGTTTGATATATCCTATGCCTCTTATGAATAATGAAATATTGAACATGTTAACACACATGTCAAACCACTACGTCAAAAAAGGCTTTGATTTTATAATAAAATAAAATGCAGTCAAATAAGGCAGATGAAGCCAATTTTTACTTGCCTAAAATTATATAGATAAGTTTTATATATGTTATAGCAGCCTTTGAAAACAAACTGATGCGTATTGTACGTTGTACCACGTGACGTACCACTACGTCAAAAAAGACTTTGATTTTATAATCAGAAAGATAGAGATATAATACTTATAAAAATTTAATTTATATAAAATTATATGCAGTTACGAACTAGATTTCTAAACAGCTAAAAATAGATTCATAGAACACAAAAACTATATGAATACCACTAAGTGCAGAATAATAACGACCATAAAACGCTATTCTACATCTAGAACTATCTAGCCAGTCTGACAATAAGTAAGGAGCATGTTCTTTAAGATTAATATATTATTGAGGAGGTAAAACCCATCTTCCCATACTGACAAGTTCAGCAATATAACAACGGACATGTACTTTGGAAGCTAAATTAAATGTACTAAATATTGAGCAGTTCAATATTCAGCAATTACAGAAGGAATGTAATTTTTACCTCTTATTCGCATGTAACATAAGTTAGACATCACGTGTCACATAGAAAGTATTAATCTAGAACAAAAGAAGACTTTCCACGACAGTACATTATTTTTTGAAACATAACCATATATAATTTGAAAAACAGCTAAGACAAGAGCTAATACCTATATTGTTTTCGTTTTTTATAATTATTCGTCAGTATTGTATTTTAACTAAGAGTGAGCTTCATCATTATGAATCAGTTGTGCAAATTAAATTATAATTTTTTAGTGCCGACCCTTCAAATACAAGTTTGATATATCCTATGCCTCTGCTCCCAGCTTCAGAGGTATACATGTTGCACACCATACTTTTCTCACTCACCAGTCAGTATCAGCTATCAGTGTCTTCCCGTCGCATCAGCCCCCTTAATAGGTGAATCAAGAAATAAGTAGTATTAATGTTTATGGCGCTTTTCCTCATATGTCAGAAGCTGAAGATCAAGGCATATCAGAAAGGAGATGTAAATATTTTCAACACATAACCGGCAAAACCTTACAGATTTCACTGAAGCCTTGACCTTTAATCAATTTTCTTGATAGTTTGACAGAGATATTTTAGTTTCTTGGGAGATAGACAACAGTAGTTTTTTCTTCATACGAATGAAATTGTATGAATAATGAATTATTGAACATGTTAACACACATGTCAAACCACTACGTCAAAAAAGGCTTTCATTTTATAATAAAAAAATGCAGTCAAATAAGGCAGATGAAGCCTATTCTTACTTGCCTAAAATTATATAGATAAGTTTTAAATATGTTATAGCAGCCTTTGAAAACAAACTGATGTGTATAATACGTCGTACCACGTGACTACGTCAAAAAAGACTTTGATTTTATAATCAGACGGATAGAGATATAATACTTATAAAAATTTAATTTATATAAAATTATATGCAGTTACGAACTAGATTTCTAAACAGCTAAAAATAGATTCATAGAACACAAAAACTATATGAATACCACCATGCAGTTACGAACTAGATTTCTAAACAGCTAAAAATAGATTCATAGAACACAAAAACTATATGAATACCACTAAGTGCAAAATAAAAACGACCATAAAACGCTATTCTACATCTAGTACTATCTAGCCAGTCTGACAATAAGTAAGGAGCATGTTCTTTAAGATTAATATATTGTTGAGGAGGTAAAACCCATCTTCCCATACTGACAAGTTCAGCAATATAACAACGGACATGTACTTTGGAAGCTAAATTATATAATAATAGCTCCCATATATAGCGTTTAACGTCTTGGGAGTAGCAAGGTACAGCTTGCCCTACTGAAGCCGTTCGGTATACAAGGAAGGTAATGTGGCTAGCACTACGCTTCAACCGCCTATTATTACCTCAGGATTGTGAATCCCAAGTACTCATTTAAGGCTGAGTCGACCTAGGTACCCAAACTGTTTTTATTTTAATAAAAATAGTCGGCTGATGAAATGCCGGGTGTGGGAATCGAACCCACACCTTGAGATTGGTAGACGAGAGCCTGTACCTCTACGCCACCGGGCACCTCGGAGCTAAATTACCTCAAAGCACCTGGAAGCTAAATTAAATGTACTAAATATTGAGCAGTTTAATATTCAGCAATTACAGAAGGAATGTAATTTTTACCTCTTATTCGCATGTAACATAAGTTAGACATCACGTGTCACATAGAAAGTATTAATCTAGAACAAAAGAAGACTTTCCCACAAAAACGACAGTACATTATTTTTTAAAACATAACCAAATATAATTAGGTATGTATTTGTAATATGATACTATAACCTAACAACCTCTAAAACACCTGAAATGTAGTTTTATATTTTAAATAAAAAATAGATAAATTATAAAGGGCAAGGGGAAAAATAACACACTAAAGATCTTAATTTTATTTCTTAAATATTTTTGATACCATAGAGTATCTGCAATGTACCTCCTTCTCAATGTTATATACCTATAAACTGTACAGGATCAGTCAACGATAAAGTTCATTATGTTGTTTGGTTTGAAAACTACGAGAAAATTTTAAATAGAAAAGGTTTAGATGTTAAGACATGTTAGATACAAGGTGCTTGAAAGAAGAATGGCAGGTATAACATATGTTTTCTTTAATGCAGCACCCTATTTTTTATTTCATTTTATTTTTAAAAAAATATTAGATTTCAATATGATAAAAAATGTCAATGACGCTATTGTTTCTGAAGTTGGATTCAGGTAGTAGACTTTTAGAAGGATTAAAAAAATGTGTGTAAAGATACTTCAGTTAGATGATACAGGTTTAGAAAAATTAAGTTAAATTAAAAAATTACAGTGAGTAAAGCGCATAATATATCATTTAGATATCTATATAAGATATGAATATATTGACAAACTAACACTGAATTATTTCTTATACCTGTTTAGCAATATACAAATAAACGATATTACGATACTAACCGTACTATCGATTATATAAAATTCCGTTAATATTAATTATTTTTTATATTACACATTGCAGTACCTGCTATAGAGAAACATCTAGGCTTTTAGATAATTTTTAGAGCTTTTAATTAACTTGTAATTAGGAACTTCGTCGACGTCAAAACTTCAAGTGGTTTGGTTTGGTATAAACACAAATATCTTCTATATGGGTCTCTAGGAATATATTGATGCATTATAAATCTAAAACAAATATAAATATAAATTAATTCACCTATTAGTATATATCTGAGAATATTATGGACAATATAGGATGGCACCAAAAAAAAATATTTTCTTTTTAGTTATCGTGAAAATATAATTCAGAATGATGAAAAAAAATTCTGGTAAAGTTTGAGCTTTTAATTTTAATATTAAGAGGTGCCCTCTCGTGATTTTCTTTTTCCCATTTAAATAACATGGGGAAGCAATTTTTTTTAAATTTTATTGCGGTCTAACAAATCAGCGTTTTGTAAAAATCAGTACCTATTGTTGTAGGAAATTGAACGGTCTTCAAAAAGGCTCTGATATGAATTTTCATTTAATCGACTCATTTGAAAGTTATTGAAGGTTCAAGTTCAACTTCAAATCATATATGATAACTTTTACTAATTATTAACTAACCTCAATTTTTTATATTTTATCTAAATAATGGCTCAAAAACATAAAATATGTTTTATAATTATTCATTATTCATAATTATCCATTATTTCGTGATAAAATCTGAAAAATCGTGGAAGGTATCATATCCGATTTGAAGTTGAACTTTAACCTTCAATTACTCACAAACCAGTCGATTAAATGCAAATTCATATTAGACATTTTTTGAATACCGTTCAATTTTCTACAAGAATATGTATTCATTTTTACAAAACGCTGATTTGCTAGAACGAAAATAAAATTCCATAGAAAAAAAAAATGTTTCCCCGTGTTAATTTCCAAATCATGATGAGGCACCTCTTAATATCAATATTAAAAGCTCAAACTTTGCCAGAATTTTTTTTTTCAAAAAAATATATATATTTTTTTTTGGTGCACCCTAATGGACAACAAAAAGATCCACAGTTGAATCAAATTTACTTCATGTTAAATATAATTCGCACACCAACAACCAACTTGGTGATCCAATTCATTAACATTTACGCTAAAATGCATAACGAAAGATAATACAATATATACAGGGTCCGGCAATAGTGCGTCGGGCTCCGAGGGCTACGAGAGAAAAATCATTGGGTGGCTTTGATAAAAATTTACTGTGGAAAATGCCATATGAAATATAAAACCGCGAATTAATATAAATTAATAAAGTTAAAAATTTTGAAATACTCTAAATACAAAAAATGTTCATTTTTTAATTCTCCATCTATTAAAAAAATAACCTATAGTGTGTTCCATTTGAAAAAACGGAGAAAAATTATTTTATATTTTAGGAAGTTTGCCATAGAATTTTGAACATCCTGTTTGATTTACGATTACCATATTTATAGCAAAGTTAAGTGCAGACCATCTAAAGTAAATACCTAATATAGTTTTGATTTCAGGAAAGGTCTTGTATTTTTAATAATTTTTTTAAGGCTGAAAAATATATATTTTTTATTTATTTGTTAATATCTCTGAAACTATTAAAATAAATTTACTCATATCTTAGGATTATGTAAAGTGATCTGAAAGGAAGCCAAAAATGTAATAATATATAGGGTGTTCCATTAAAAAAAATCATCCCGATTCGTTCACACTTTTTTGAGCCGCTCTATATAGAAGTTAAATTATTTTCCTGAAATACATCCTATATACTTTAGGCTTGCACTTAAATAAAATTCCCATTTTTTTTATTCTTGGAGCTACAGATGCCCGACGCACTATTGCCGGACCCTGTATATCAAAAGTTATAAGCCAAATATATATGATATTAAAAAGTATAACACCGTTAAATGGTAAATGGTTAAAAATTTTAAAACACTTTAAATACGAAAAATGTTTTATTTTTTAATTCTCCATCTAACAAAAAATAATAAATAAAAAAAAACAATTATACAAAAATTATTTTATATTTTAGTATGTTTGGCATGGGATTTTGAACACCCTGTATGATTTGAGATTACGATATTTATAAAAAATAAGCACAAACTAAATATAGTAAGTACCTAATATAGTTTTAATTTCAGGTAATTTCTTATATTTTTAATAATTAAAAAAAGGCTAAAAATATATTTCTTTCTCTTTATTAAACTTTATTTATATTCTGAAGTCAATAAAAACTTAATATCCTAGGACTATGTAAAGTGATTAAGAAGGAAGCAACAAATGCAATAATATGGAGGGTATTCCAATTAAAAAGATACCCTGTAGAAATAAAAATATTTTTCTGAAGTAGGCTCTAGCACACTGATGGCGAACCTGACACGCCTGTCAATGCTGACACGCGACCTGATTTTTGATGACACGCATCTTTAAAGATAAGTATTTCATAATAATTATAGCTGATACGTGCCCACTTTGCCGTGCATAAAAATTTGAAACGATATATTTTTTTATGAATCTTGCAATGTTGGAATACAGTGTGAGTCTTTAAAGTGGAATAAATTCGTTATATCAAACACAGAACTTAAACAAAATGCTTGACCCTGTCAATTATTCTTATAAGTTGCTCATATTTTTACATAAAAAAATATTTCTACACAAAGCAGATATTTCTTTTATGTAGAAATCTTTCTAAAAATAGGATCGGGGAATAAAATTGCCAGATTTGAAATAAGCTCCTTCTAAATACTGCAAGTAAGTCTGGCCATTTAGATTACGATTGATATTACTACTGATTAATATTAATAACATTTTGTCACCAATAACGCCCACCTAAACGTTGAAGTCATTTCTCTGGCTATTGAGTATTGAGGGGTGTCTCACTTGGGTAAAAAATGTACATGTATTGCCAAAATATAATTTTACTTCCAAGCGACTGCCAATGACTGCGAAGAAACTGCCTGTCTGCCATATACAGGGTGGTCCGAACTGCATTCCGGAAACTTCGGCAGCATATTCTGCAGATAAAAATAAGGCAAAAAGTTAGTATAAATGTATGTCCTAAAATGCTTAGTTTACGGAAATACAGTGTGTAGAAATTTCATTTTTATTTCGATTTTTTTCCAAATAATTTCTGAAGTAACGTCAATATTTGGATAAAAGTTATTGTCTGGGAGTTTTTTGACATGAGAAATTTGATTTTGATGTCAATATGACTCCCATTTGTAATAACTTTTCGTCAGTACCTGTATAAAACTAATGCGTGAAAAAATATACATTTCCGTGAGTTTTTACGTAAAAAATGTACCTTGATAAAAATCGCTACAAGTAACCGTTCTCAAGATATTTAGAATGGAAATAGTCAATACGTGTCATTATTGATATAATAAATTCGCTAAATTTTTATTTTTTTTAATTAATAATAAATTTTTCTGCGAAGAAATGATGACAAAAGAGTTTCTGTTGAACTTTTGGCAGAAACACATTTCAAATTTATGATTTCAGTCTAATAACTATTTAGTCAACATGTTTAATTTGTGTTAAGAATATAATTTCGATTCCAAATATCTCGAGGACCATTACTCGTTGCGATTTTTTCCAAAAGAACTTTTTTACGTCTAAAATGTCGTAAATGTATATTTTTTACTCAGTAGTCTTATACAAGTACGGACGAAAAGTTATTACTCTTCAAACCAGTTAAAAATATGTAGGTGGCGCCTTCTACAAGTAGGAGTCATATTGACATCAAAATCAAATTTCTCATGTCAGAAAACTCCCAGACACCAATTTTCATCCAAATATTTACGTTACTTCATAAATTATTTGGAAAAAATCGAAATAAAAATGAAATTTCTACACCCTGTATCTCTGAAACTAAGCATTTTAGGACATACATTTATACGAACGTTTTTACTTATTTTTATCTCTAGAATATGCTGCTGAAGTTTCCGGAATACAGCTCGGGCCACCCTGTATATTCCCGCTCAAACGTTGAAATTATTTCTGTGGGTACTGCGTATACGTCGCCCTCAATCAGTGTTCGCGATCATCTTCAGTTCATTCCTGTATAATCTGCAATTTATACGGATGAAATTTTGAATGCTTAAGTATCCATATTACTGACACATTTTTACTAATTTTATTTTCTATTGAAATTTATTGGGTCGGGTCGTCTAGTTATTATAATGTTTTTGAAAGTTCAACACAACAGTGAGTTTAATACTGAGTTTAACATTTTCGCAATATGCAGTTCTTGCTTAATTTCTAATTTTCGTACACGATATTTTCTCTAAATTTCTGATTTTTTCAATTTGCCCCCGTATCCTATGAGTATTAAAATATCGATTTGATGAGAAGCTATCTCTTCTAACTTCACACTATTAAAATTATTAATGTAACAGTACATAGGGTTCCCAACCGTCCCGGTTTAACTGGGATTAACCAGGAATCAGAAAGTTTGTCCCGGCGAAAATTTCGCCTTGGCCGGGACCAAAAAAATCACATTTACATATAATATATTTGAATTTCTAATATTTAATGTTTTGTTTCAATTATTTAAAAAATTAAAAATAATTGTCCCGGAATCGCCGATGCTCAAGTTGGGAACCCTAACGGTTCAGCTAAATCCGACAAAAGAGTTATTGCAATTGGTCTCTTCGAATAAAGAAATAAAGTAGTCTAAAGTTCGATATTAACAATTTCGATGTTTTTTAGCGTAAATCAACCATATTTACCATCAATCAAAAATATTGTTGACGTATTTGATAGTTTTGACATTTTTATAAAATTTTACAATTTTTATAAATTTAAGTAATTACGTTTGTATTTACCTACTTATTTATAAAAATGTATTTTTTATCGCTTACCGTTATCATAGTAGAAGCCGTTATTATACTATCTAATTGAACTGGAATTAGTTTATTACACATCGTTCAGTAAAAATTGAAATGTTTCCTTTCTCCACGCTAATAACAAACTATCAAAACATCACTTAGATTTATATTTTGAAGTTTTAATGTCATTGCTTGTATTTTATATGGGGGCTACAAAAAGTTTTTCATAATTTTCCGAAAAATATTAAAAAATTATAATTTGGATGGGATTTGATCAAAATCCGTTCTTAGTGAGCGTGTATGTCCCGTAAGGGGTAACTATACTAATTTTCAGCTCAATATTTCGTGTAGTTTTGGTGATAAACAAATAGGTGACAAAATATTAAACCAATTAACTTACAAAATTTATAAATATTTATATTTTTTTAGGTTTTACTTTTGAGATGTGTAACGCGCCACTAAAAGTATGTTTCGATTTTTCAAAATTTTGACACACCCAGCTCAAAAGCTTCGCCATCACTGTCGTAGTACATACTATAGGTATTCCCGTAAAGAAAATGCCTAAGTTTATTATTATAGGAGGTAAAGAAGCTAGACGGCACTTTACTGTTGACTGACAGACCCTGTATGTGATGTATGTATAGACTATATGGATATTTTGCCTTAATAAAGACGATTATAATAATCATTATTTACTAACTACAAAATTCCGGTTATTTTACTAAATTTAAAAATTATTTATTGCTATACCTGTTAGCGTATATTTTCTTGATACTTTAAGTTGTTCTGTAATTTGTATGTTTTATTAACTATTTTCCAAATAACAGAGATATCTTCTTTTGGGGTTCTATCTGCTGCGCAGCCTACGACACCTAAAACAAATATAAATATAAATTAACTAGCGTGTACCAGCGACTTCGTTCGCGTCGATTAATCATTTGTAATGGTGATGGTAAAGCAAAGCAAGAATTTCCATTAACATACAAACTGGATAAAATTTTCTCACATTTATGTCAGTATGAGAAAAAGTAATATGGCGATATTATTATATAACTTGGTAATATTTGAGGGGTAGTTTCATCTCGTTGGAATTTGATTTTCGAAAAATCCGTTTGCCAAAAATAAGCTTTTTAGGTCAAGCAGTTTAAGCAGAATCGTGGTTAAGAAATTACCCAACTTCCTGAAAAACACCCTGTATGATTTTTTAAAAAATTTCAAATTATGTAAAAAAACCAAATAAATTATGCTTGTCCAAGCGTTTTTCCAAAAGACTAACCGTTTTTTAAATAACAAATATAGTAATATTTGAGGGGCGTTTTCTCACTCTTGGAATTTGAGACTCGAGAAACCCCTCCTTATCGAACATCTACACTCCACAGTCAATCCGTTTGCCAAAAATCAGCTTTAAACGTCAAGCAGTTTAAGCAGAATCGTGATTACTCAATGGTCATATTTTATGAAACACCCTGTATAAATTTATAAAAAATCTTAAAATATGTAACAAAATAAAATATACGTGTTTAAGAGTTTTTCCGAACAACTCTACGGTTTTTAAATAAAAAATATTTTAATACTTGAGGGATAGTTTCACCCCCTTAGAATTCGAGTTTCGAAAAATCCCTTCTTATCAAACCTCTATACCCTAAAGTCAATCTGTTTTAAAAAAATCAGCTTTTTACGTCAAGCGCTTTAAGCAGGATCGTGATTAATCAATGACCAGATTTTTCGAAACACCCTGTATACATTTTTAAAAAATCTTAAAATATGTAAAAAACCAAAATAAAATATACGTGTTTAAGCGTTTTTTCGGAAACATGACCGTTTTTTAAATAAAAAATATTGTAATATTTGAGTGGTGGTTTCACCCTCTTGGAACTGGAATTTCGAAAAATTCCTTGTTATCGAACCTCTGTATGCCAAAATTGAGCTTCTTACGTTGAGTGGTTTGAGCAGGATCGTGATTAATCATTATGTCAGTCACTTAAGGATTTTATATATTAGTATAGATTCGTCGTTAAGTACTTATTAAATCGTTAAAAAATCCATGTAATTAAACGAAAAGAACATGTTTCAAACAAGGTTTTGTGTATTTTAAGTGTCATCGATATTTATAAATGTATTTGAACATCATGTAGCATTTAACTAAAATACTTTTTAGTATATCTGTTGATATACTATCTCATAAAACATTATTTCTAACCATTAGAAATAGTTGTAGTAGTTTTAGGAATTTTTTTAGGAAGTTTAGTATAAATAGTTTTATAGTTTTAGTAGTTTTTTTTTATAATTTATAAAAGAAAACATTATGACTTTATTTCTGAATCTGAAAATAAAAAAGGGTGTTTCATCTAAAAATATTTCATGTGTCACATTTTTTTATGCATCCTGTATAATACAGTTGCAGTTGGAACCTAATGGGTAACAACAGAAAAATTGAGCATTATTATAGGCACCCGATTGTCGTTTAGAACCAAAACAAAATCAGAGAAGCGAGGGAAAATTACTTGCGCGTTACAATAAAACTACCGAGACTAAAGAAATAGGAACAGAGAACTAGAAGGAATGGACCATTATTCTCTGTTCAAGTTGTCTTTACATTTATTTATTTTGATGCTTCCATAATCCATAAGGATCTAATTGCCTGTAATTTAAGAACACAATGTTTAAATTTAAATTATCAACTACTCAAAATTTAATACTCGCTCTAATTTTTTTTGACTCTTTTGGGATCTAGATTCGGGAAAAACGTTGATAAGTTTTCATTTGGTTTTTCATTGTCTTTATTTGTTTTTAAAAAAAAACAAACGTTTCGGCTAACACAATAGCCTTCATCAGTGTTGGGTCTATAACAAAGTACAATTTCAATTTACTTGTCACAAAAATCTAATAATTATTAACATATACATATACATTGATCTGTATCAATAATAGGTCTGTTCGTTTTCCTGTTATTATCGATTCTGAATCGTCCTAGAACGCTCCAGCGCATGCGCAAATGAAATAATGTCTTCATATTTCCTTCTGCGCATACGCATCACAATTCTAGGACGGTTCAGAATCGGTAATAACAGGAAAACAAAAAAAGCTAATATGTTGAACCCCTCCCCCACTCCCAGATCTTCAGAATAAATAAATATAAAGACAATATGCACAGAGATTATCGTTCCATCTCTTCTAGTTTTGTATTCTTATTGCTAGTCCAGTTAAATTTATTGTCCCGCTCGTTTCGCTGAATTTGTCAGATTTGGTAGTAATAGATACATATAGGGTGCCTATACAGGGTGAGTCTTAAATAGGTGCAAATATTTTTAGGGGTAGTATATTTCGAGCCCAGAAACATGATTATGGGTTTTTTTCAAAAAAAAAAAATATATATACAGGGTTGTTCACCACATACGACACGGAATATTGTAGCTAAACGATTAGATTTTTACAAATTGTAAGTTTTGGGTTCGTTGAAGGACTATTAGAGCTACAATTTAAAAACATTTTTACAAGTTAGAGAGTGTCCCAAATTAAAACAATATCAAAGTTGTATTTTTTTAAATGGAACACCCTGTATATTATTACATTTTTAGTTTCTACGATTAAAATAAAGGTAAATTCGATTAAGGTTTATTACACTTAAACCTTACCGTTTTTGAAATATTTTCAATTTTGTGAAATTGCAGTATAAATTTTAAGGCTTCATTTCTCCGAGGGTATCAAAGTTTTTAATACTAAATATTTACTGAAGTTTATTTATTGATCAGTTATTGTGTTGCAATAATAAAAATGTTACTACCTTATACCGAGTGTCTAAATATTTATTTTAAATAATTATTAGCTTTAAACGGCAATAACTTGTTTAATTTAAATGGAACACCCTGTATATTTTATGAGAATCAGATGCACAATTTAATTGTCTATCAAATTGTATTATACCATTTTTTACCTATCTCTTCACGCTTCCGTAGAAAATGCATTTTCTTGTAATTTAGAACTCATTTATTTTATTACCCATGGAATACTGACATTTTAGATTATTTTTAAAGATGTACCAAATTTTTAAAGAGTACAGATACTAATATTGTCATTACAGTTCGTTTATTTCATTAAAAAATAAAAAAAACTGTTTCAATATTTGTTAAAGAGAACCAATTAATATGATTCCAGTATTCAAACTACATTAATCGATTGTTTGCGTTGATTAATAATAATTGCTCCAAATACTAAAAAACTGAATTATTTATGTGTATTAGACAGTGTGGTAAAAAAACTAACACCCTAAAAATGATATTTCATTTTTTGACAAATGCTTATTTATAACAACAGAGACATTCATTTTCATAACTTATTATTATATTGATTTCTGATTCAAATCCACATTTATTTAGAATAATTTATTAACGAACACAATTAAATATGTAATTAATTAGTATTTGGGCGGAAATACTGGTGGTATATTTAATTAATGGTATGGTACTCTTTTATAAAGATCTAAATAGTTTTCTTTTTGCATACAAATGGGCTAGTAATATCATCGTTTTACTAAAAACGATAATATTACTAGCCTGTAATGAGGTCTAAATTATAAGAAAATGCATTTTCTACGAAAACTTGAAGGGATAGGTAAAAAGTCGTATAATACAATTTGATAGACAATTAAATTGTGCATCTGATCCTTATAAAATATACAGGGTATTCCATTTAAATTAAACAAGTTATTGCCGTTTAAAGCTAGTAATTATTAAAAATAAATTTTTAGACACTCTGTATAAGGTAGTATAATTTTTATTATTGCAGCACAATAACTGATCAATAAATAAACTTCAGTAAATATTTAGTATTAAAAACTTTGATACCCTCGGAGAAATGAAGCCGTAAAATTTATAGTGCAATTTTACAAAATTCAAAATATTTCAAAAACGGTAAGGTTTAAGTGTAATAAACCTTAATCGAATTTACCTTTATTTTAATCGTAGAAACTAAAAATGTAATAATATACAGGGTGTTCCATTTAAAAAAATACAACTTTGATATTGTTTTAATTTGGGACACTCTCTAACTTGTAAAAATATTTTTAAATTGTAGCTCTAATAGTCCTCAACGAACCCAAAACTTACAATTTGTAAAAATCTAATCGTTTAGCTACAATACTCCGTGTCGTATGTGGTGAACAACCCTGTATATATATATATATATATATATATATATATATATATATATATATATATATATATATATATATATATATATATATATATCGAAATTTTGGAATTGTTTTTAGTTTTTATTTAAAAAACATAATTTCTTGATAATATGGCAACATAGCTAATAAATTAAATTTACAAGAAAGAAAACCCAGAAAAGAAGTGGTTCTCAAAATTTTGATAAATGAGGTCTAAATTATAAGAAAATGCATTTTCTACGAAAACTTGAAGGGATAGGTAAAAAATGGTATAATAATTAATTAATTTTTTAATTTGATAGACAATTAGGTAAATTATGCATCTGATTATCCTAAAATATACAGCCGTTTAAAACTAGAAATTATTTAAAATAAATTTTTAGACGCTCTGTATGAGGTAGTATTATTTTGATTATTGCAACACAATAACTGACCAATAAATAAACTTCAGTAAATATGTAGTATTAAAAACTTTGACAGCCTTGGAGAAATAAAGCCTTCAAATTTTTACTGCAATTTCACAAAATTGAAAATATTTCAAAAACGGTAAGGTTTAAGTGTGATAAACTTTAATCAAATTGACCTTTATTTTAATCGTAGAAACTAAAAATGTAATAATATACAGGGTGTTCCATTTAAAAAAAATACAACTTTGATCTCTTTGATTTATTTGGGAAAGACGTTTTAAATCTTGTGAAAACATTTTTAAATTGTAGCTCTAATAGTCCTTCAATGAACCCAAAACTAAAAAATTTGTAAAAATCTAATCGCTTAGCTACAATACTCCGTGTCGCATGAGGTGAACAACCCTGTATATTTTTTAAAAATTTACAATATCTAAGATCTATTAAAAATTCTAAAATAAACTTTAAATTGTTAACAGTTTTAGTTTAAGCAATGCTGAAAAAAAAATATTTTTAAACAATACATGTTTTTTATTGTTTAAAACAATTTGAATTCCAAAGTCGAAAATATGTTTAAAACACTTGTTTTATACTCTGTTTTAAACTATATCGTATTAATTCCATTATAAAAAACTTATGGTGCTTCTCCAAGTAGCAGTACAGAATTAATAGTTTTTAGACAACATATTAGGTTGAGGAGTGAGAATGGAAATTGATAAATTACAATAGAAAAATAACACTAATAAACTAACAATTATTATTTTTGATGAATATTATGTAGGACAGTGGTGTATTTTTTTAATTTTTAGTAAAAATACATTTTCCGACACGAAATTCAGGCTTTAGCAATTATAGCATTATTCATAATTTGGGCAGTTGATAATTTATATTAATTTGTTTCAATGCATAGGAACTGTGTCCACAAAACCCATTGGTTAAATGAAAAAAAAAATAGAAAAATTAATAAATAATAAAATCTAAAATTTGGTTTTCTATTATTCGTGAAATAATTTAGACGAAACAAACAAAAACGGAAAAGAAAAAAACAAGCAATTATTACGTAATTGCATGAAATGTGGAGCAATAACATGAAGAAAGTACAAAAAATATAAAATAAATATAGAGGGTGTTCCTTAACGAAATGCTAATATTTAAGTGTGTGATTCTTGGATCTATTCTAAGAGAAAAACTCATATGAATATATATCCTAAACATCTTAATTTTTAAGATAGAGGGTGATAAATTTTTCAAAAAAAGATATTTTTTTCATAATAACTCTGATTTTGTTACAGATATCTTTATGAAATTTGATACACGTTAGAAAAAAGTGGTATACCACTGACTTATCTCAAATTAAAAAATATTTTCAAGATTGCCATTCATTTCTAAACGTTTTTAATCTCTCCGACGCATAGTTTTTGCTTAAAAAAATAAAGTCAGTTGGAAGTCAGGAGAACTGATGTAGTTTGTATTAAAATGAAATTTTGGCAGCAAATGTAGGATTGAAAGCATTTTATAATATAGAGTTCTACAGGGTGTCTCGAAAAAAAAAGTTACATATCAAAGTTGTGTTTTTTGTGATTCCACACCCTATACAGGGAGCTACCAATTCGAGGTACGAGCATTGCTATCTCGGAAACCGTAATAGATACGTAACAAGATGGTTAAATTGGGGAAAAGTTGCTCCTTGGCATGTTCACCAAGATGCCATCAAAAAACTTTTAAAAATTTTAAGGATTGCTGAATTTTAAAAAAAAAAGGATTTTTTGGACGTATCAAGTGTGGCATATCATTGTACTCAGGAGGCCGAGTTCTTTCAAAACCTGAAATAAAAAATGCAGGTCCGTATTTACAAAAATTAAGTTGGCCTCTGTATCTCACAATATATCAGCTAATTTGAAAATTTAAAAATAAGAAAGAGCGAAAGAGCGAACGCGCGCGAGAGAGAGAAAGAGAGAGAGAGAGCATCTAGGACCATTTAGCAACCAATAAAAGGGAAAAATAAAGGTGAGTTTTATTAAAAAGTATATCATTAAAACGTAAGGTTGATATTGATGTATTTCAGGAAAATATTTTAACTTCTACAGGGTGGCTCAAAAAGGTGTGAGTGGATAGGGGTTATTTTTTTTAATGGAACACCCTGTATATTATTGCATTTTTGGCTTCCTTTCAGATCACTTTACATAATCCTAAGAGTAAATATATTTTGATAGTTTCAAAAGATTAATAAATAAATAAAAATATATATTTTTTAGTCTTTATTAAAAAAATATTAAGAATAGAAGAACTGTCCTGAAATCAAAACTATATTAGGTATTTACTTTAGATGGTCTGTACTTACTTCGCTATAAATATCGTAATCTTAAATCATACAGAATGTTCAAAATTCAGTGGTAAACTTTCTAATGTATAAAATATTTTTTCTTCGTTTTTTACAAGGAACACACTGTATATTATTTTTTTATTAGATGAAATTTTTTTTTTCAAAATCCAAACCAACTTCCATACCAAAGTTATATATTTTCTTATGGAGCCCCGGTATTTTATTGCATTTTTGGATTCTTGGCCCAAAAAAGGTATTTATTATTGCCAACCAACCAAACCAAATACCACACAATACTTTCCAGAATTAATTCTTGTGCTGAGTTTAAAGGCAGAGAAATAAACTTTACGGAAAAATGTTATTGCCTCCTTTATGCCAAATTTATACAGGGGTACCAAAAATTGCTGATCTTTTTTAAGATTTATTTTATAAAAAAACTTCGTGATTTCAAATGCAACACCCTGTATTTTTTTAAATAAATCGAAGCAGATTCAAATGCCCTTTCAAACTGTATTAGGGTTACCTAACCTATAGCACAGATTTTGAATAAAAAGCAATTTTTCAATAAAATGGCAATCAAGATGGCTGGTGTCGCCATGGCAATTTTCTAGTGACAGTAAGTATTTTCAGTACCGACATTAGTTTATGGACATTATTATTTAGATTTATAACAGTGTACTTAAATTTACCTACAGTTGTTTAATAAGTAAGTACAGTAAAACCCCGGTTATCCGAGGTAACGTGGGGTACACCCTCCTCGGATAATCCGGATTTATTAAAAAATAAGCACCAATATACATACTTTAAACGGTTTATTAACATTTTTAACATGTAAATACATAAGTACCTACATAACATACTATCTACATTATAAAACAGTGAAATAAGTATCTATGCGCTGCTGTTTCATATTGCATCTTCTTTTTCTCGCTGCCATGTTTCTCCAGCTGTTTATACTACTTACGAACGCAATAACGAACTGCATTCACTCAAATTTACATGCTAAAAGAGTCCAAAAATATAAATAAGGGGAACCACTCACACGGGTCAAGAGGATTCTCCGTCGGTCCCAACGATTTTAAACGGAAGTATGTAAATATACATATAGTATATTTTAGAAGCTTGGTTAATACGGAGCATAGACGCGCGACCTCGGATAATCAGGGGTGGAACTCTGTATCTCGACATTTTCTCCAAAGCGAAAGAGATAAGTAAGAGAAGAGATAGAGATCGTTGAAATTATTGAAACTTTATAAGCAAATCTCTAAGACTATCGTATAATCTCGGCAATATTCGTACTTCTAATCGGATAGAGATTTTTTATATAATCAATCCTGAAAACATCTTATTTTGTCTAATTGCCAAACTGGACAAAGAAGAAAATGACGTCTGAGTGAAAATAACCTCACATTTTTTTACATCTATTCTCTGGCTGGTCTTTGGTTTACGTAGATTCGATTTCCTAGTTTTTATTAGTTGTTCCTAGTTGTTATTTTGTAGTTTTTAAGTTTTCGTAGTTATTAGTTTTTCCCACCTAGTTGTTATTTTGTAGTTTTAAATTTTCATAGTTTTTAGTAGTTCTTAGATATTTTGTAGTTTTTCGTAGTTATTAGTTCTTCCTACTTGTTATTTTGTAGTTTTTGGTTCTTCAACCAGTGATTATTTGTAATAAAAATGTTGCCGGTTCAGATGTTTTTGATAAATGAAGTTCAAAACGATGAACGAATGTACCAAAACCGCATACAAAAAAGAACCATGCGAGATGCAAGTGATCCATTTGCATTGCCCGATAGGAGGTTCATTGATCTCTTCAGATTAAATAAAAATGTAGTCCACTATTTGTTTGAGACTTTAATGCCATTTATGGAAGCTGAAGAGAGAAGGTCACGGGTTCCTCGTCAAACCCGCATATTAGTTGCGCTGCGATTTTTTGCGACTGGTGACTACCAAAGAGGTGTGGGTGAAGAATACTTGCTCTCGGCCAGTCAACAAGTGGTTAGCAGGTGTATAGATGAGGTAGCCACTTGTATAGCTACAAATTTAAGTCGACTATGGATTAAATTTCCCATGGATGAAAGAAGAAGAAATGATATAAAAAGGCGCTTTATGGAAAAAGCTGGATTCCCAGGAATCATTGGATGCATAGATTGCACCCACATCGCAATTTTAGCACCTGCCCATGAGGAACACATTTATGTTAACAGGAAGGGCTTTCACTCCAAAAATGTGCAAATAATTTGTAACGACAAATTAGAAATTCTTAATATTAATGCCATGTATCCAGGCTCAACAAATGATGCATTTATTTGGAGAGGTTCTCAAATAAAACACTTGCTTGAAGAAGAATATAACAGAGGTAAGTAATTAATAAACTTGTAATATATAGGTATATACTCGAGAGAAAAACTATTAATTTGCATGAAAAGCAATTAGAATACCATTGTTAGGTACTTACTTGTAGTTTATCTTCTTGAATAGTGTAGTTAATAAGCTAACTAAGATAATATAAATTGAAATAAAATCTAAACATGGAAAACCACAGTTTAATATGTGTATAAGAGTGCATTTGCTGATTTAGTTTTGATTATAATTTAAGATATATTTTTTACTTTTGAAAGCATTCTAAGAAAATTTTTGCCTAAAAACACTAAAATTGCATATATTCTTTTAGGAGGAAGAAATAATTGGTTGCTAGGAGATTCAGGATATCCATTGGAGCCATGGCTGTTAACACCATTTGAAAATCCAAATCCAGACAGTCCTGAAGGCCGATACAACCACTCTCACAAGATAACAAGAAGTATAATAGAGAGGTGTAATGGACGCTTAAAACTTGTGTTTAGATGCACTTTAGGAGAAAGAAAACTCCGGTATAATCCTATTAAAGTGGGAACAATAATAAATGCTTGTGCGGTGTTACATAACATATCTCTGAGAGCTGCAGTTCAGTACGAGATCAATTTCCAAGACAATATTTTGAATATGGACATCATCAACTTCCAGGGCAACAATCAAGTTCCAGGCTTGCCAGTATTAGAAGAAGCTAGGCAAGTCAGACAGCAACTCCTAAATAGATATTTTCAAAGATAAAATTATTGCTTTTTAATACTAAAATTGCTAAATTGTTATAATTTTATGATCCATTTTTTATTTTCTTAGTTATATACATATGTTAAGTTAAAAAATTAATAAATATAATTATTCTATATGATTTACATTTTTAAATTTAGTTTTTAACAGTTTTAGTATTATATCTTAATCACCATCTCTTATGTTTTACAACGTTAAATAAAACTAAACTTTAAATAATAAATATACTGCTGTATTTCAAAAATATTATTTATTTTTTCAATAATACCACTTGTTAACACTTATACTATATACCGTATGATCGAATAAAAACGGCGTCAGCGATGGCTAAGAAATGACGATCGATAATATTTCCCATATAATTTTACATATAAAATAACAGCGATCTTCATTTCATAGCCATCGCTGACGCCGTTTTTATTCGATCATACGGTACATGTAATTATATAAAAAATAAATATAAATTAAACCACCAGAAACAAATCTTAAAACATTTACATTAACAGGAAAAAACACTAAAACTGAACAAAATCTTTGGAAAATATTACAGCAAAGTTAAATGAACAAAGGCCATACTCCTTAAAATATTCAGTCAAATATACTACTCTAACATCTAGTAACAAAAATGTCAATAAAAAAACAAAAATCAATTCTCATAACAAAACTAAAAAAATCAAATAAAAGTTAACATTTGCATTGTTTAACAAAAAAAACACTAAAACTAAACAAAATCTTTGGAAAGTATTGCAACAAAGTTAAATGAACAAAGGAATACTCTTAAATTATCCTTAAAATATTCAGTCAAATATACTACTCTAACATCTAGTAACAAAAATGTCAATAAAAAAACGAAAATCAATTCGCATAACAAAACTAAAAAAATCAAATAAAAGTTAACATTTGCATTGTTTAACAAAAAAAAAACACTAAAACTAAACAAAATCTTTGGAAAGTATTGCACCAAAGTTAAATGAACAAAGGAATACTCTTAAATTATCCTTAAAATATTCAGTCAAATATACTACTCTAACATCTAGTAACAAAAATGTCAATAAAAAAACGAAAATCAATTCGCATAACAAAACTAAAAAAATCAAATAAAAGTTAACATTTGCATTGTTTAACAAAAAAAACACTAAAACTAAACAAAATCTTTGGAAAGTATTGCAACAAAGTTAAATGAAGGCATACTCCTTAAATTATCCTAATATTCAGTCAAATATACTAATCTAACATCTAGTAACAATAACCAAAATAAACAAATTAAAAAAAAATTCTGATACAAAAATAATAAAAATTCTAATCGAAACAAACAAATAAAAAAAAATCCCATCACCAAAATCAAAAATTAAATAAATTCTGATAACAAAAATAAAAAATAAATTCTAATAATCAAAATAAATTAATTAAAAAAAAAATCCATCAACAAAATAAAACTTAAAAAAATCGATTCTGATAACTAAAATTAAAAAAGCAAAATTCTTCTAACCAAAATAAAAATAAATAAAAAACTTATTTTAAGCAATTACAATTGCAATTACACCCTTGCTTGTCGGCAAGTCTTCCTATATTCTTACTAATTTCTTTTAACACAGAGAGTGTCTCTTGATGCATGCTGGACAGGGTGACTTCAGTTCCTACCCTCTTCCGTTTTTTAGCCAAATTCCTGGTTGTTGCTGTACGCTTCTGTACGTTCTCCCTATTGTCTATGGGGGCTGGATTCACCGAATCAGTCATTGTCTGATCATCGGGATCATAAAAGTTGGCTTCTAATGTTGATTGAGAGCTAGTGTGAGGCAGTACTGGAGACTGAACTACTGCTACAGGTGTAGTTTCAACCGGGACCAATGGTGGCACATGAACAGGTGTAGCTTCACTTTTTGTTAAAGGGACCAATGGTGGCATCGTTAAAATTTTACTAGCCTGGACTATATTCGGAGTAGACGACAATGTTGATGGCATAGAAACATTCTCCTAAAAATACAATGATATTTTTGTTGGACTACATAATAACAAAATAACTTACAAGGCCTAATTCAGGTGTTCCGTCTCCAACCACAATGGTCCATCCTAAGATGCCCATTAGTTTCTCCTCTATTGGAGTTAGTGGAGGAAGAGGAGCCCCTCCCCCAGTCTTTTTTAACCCCAATCGTATTGCCTGAGCTTTTGCCTTAACTTTACTTTTCCATTTTGTAAAGGCCTGTAACAATGTATTTAATTAATTTATTTCTAAATAAAAAACAAATAGGCAAACATATTTTTTAATTTAATATTAAATAACTGGGATCTATTTAAACATGCAAACTTTGCCCTGTTTACACTTACGTCTATCCATTTGTCTGGAGTCTTTGCTCCATAGCCCATGCTATTAAGGCTGGTTGCCAGTTCCTTCCACAATTCATTGTATTTTTGTCGGGCATCTAGCCCTGAAAATGTCCGGGTTACCATCTCTGGATGGTCAAGAAAAAAATCAACCATAGCAGACCACTGCGCCGGACTTGTCCTTGAGGCTCTTTCAGAGCTCACAGCTAAAGGGCTTACTTCACTGCACATTCTTCTATACGTACATAAAACACAAAATCGCATTTTTAACAACCAAGTAGGTATAAATTGTTTTGAAAAAACAAGACAAGAAGTACATTAAAATTAATAATATAAATAAATACATATATACAAAAAAAAAGAAAAACCTATGTAATGTACCTCTTCAAATGTTAAAACTGGTTAAAACGTAATAAAAGAAAAATATGCAAATGTAAAAAAATTGAAAAAAAGGTTATGTTTAGATGATGCTATTTTAATTTCACATAAGATTTAAAAGATACTACTTGTATTACATCCAATACTATTGTACCTACTCACCCAATTTAAACAATAAAAATAATTTAATTTCTTCAAGGTAAACTATAAAATAAATAACTATAAAAATATATTGTAAATACAAACAGATACAAATAATATATAATATCGTAATTCAAATTGTGAAGTCAAATGTCAAATTCCATGAAACGTAGACAAAGCAACACGATATACGATTTAATAAGTTGAAGTGAAATAGAACTACTATCGCTTTGGAAGAAACACCTATTCATTTGTCTTTATCTCTAGTACGTTCGGGTCTCTCGTATTATGCCCGGAATCATCCGAATTGCATTAGAGAGTGCCAAACGGCCAAGCGACCGTATTCTCGATCGCTATTTGGTTTATAGAGTTCCACTCCAGGGTCTTTAGATTGGATCGGTTAATCCGGAGCTCGGATAATTGCGACTCGGATAATTGGGGTTCTATTGTATTCCTTATTTTATCCAGAAAAATAAAACAGTATCTTCTCACGGAACGAATGGATATGTTTCTAGTGATTTTATTTTTTAAGGAAAATGGCTTCTTGGCCTCAAGAGCTTATGCTCAAAAGATATCCAAATAGGAATATTTCTGATAAGCGTTCCTTTGAAAAACTACTTGTCCTATTTCACAGAGCTGGTAGTGTAATTTATAAAAAAAATATTAGGCAGAAATCTGTCGTTGGAAGTGAAGTAAATGAATTTGCCGTAATTGGCTCTTTTAAAGAAAATCCATATATCTACGAGTCATCGGAAAATAAATCCAAGAACTAGTTCTTCGTTTTTCTTGATAAATAAATACATATTTAACAAATTATTATTTATTAAATTATTGTAGGTAAATTAAATAAAAGTAAACTGCTAGAAATTTAAATAAAGTCCATAAACTAATTTCGATTTCAAAAATAGGTCGAACTGTCATTAGAAACTTTCCATGACGACACCAGTCCTCTTGGTTGCCATTTTATTGAAAAATTGCCATTTATTCAAAATCTGAGCTAGATAGGTATAGCAAACCCGAATATAGTTTGAAAGAGCATTTGAATCTGCTTCGATTTATTTTAAAAAATACAGGGTGTGTGTAAAATAAATATTTAAAATAGACCAGCAATTTTTGATACCAATGTGTAAATTAAACGAAGCAATCAAATTTTTCAGCATATTTATTTCTTTGGCTTAAAAGTCAGCACAAGAATTAATTCTGAAAAGCAATGTACAGGGTATTGACATCTTTTTTAATACAGCGCGCATATTTAAATATTTTTAAATATCTCAAAAACCAAAGCTTGTAAACATGTTTAAAAAAATCCTTATAATAAATGCCTTATTTTGTGTACAAGGATCAAAATATGGCGTAAAATACAGGGTGTTCCATAAAAAAAAATGTAATTTTGGTGTAGATCTTAGTTCTGGCATACCCTGTACGTTTCAAAATAATTTCAAATTATGCACATTGCCTTCTTACATATACCCATAAAATATTTTGTTTCTGCATCTTTCCGTTAGCGTATAAACAACCGAGGCGAATGAGGTGCGCCACCATGTATATTCGATACGCTTTATTTATTAAACTAAAGAAACTATGATTTTGAATAAGTATTGGTAAAATCATTAATTAAACATTTTAAAAGTTGAAATTTGGGTTATAAGTTAACGAAAGTGGATATAATAAAACCTATCTAAATAAACGGATTGGATATTACACAGATAAGAAAGAAAAATATTATATATTTCCGTTTGTTATAAAATTGCTCAAATCTTTGTTATTTTAAATTCACCCCTATGTATATTATTAAAAAAATCAAAAGACTAATAAACTTGTTTTTCAACAATATATCATGTTCCTATATACCTAAACCTTTCGGTTTTTTAAGTAGAGCTAACTAAAAATAATAATTCTATTATTATAGTTTCATTTCAAGTATTTCGTTATCATGAGAATTTTAGAAATTTCGCACGTAAACTCTAAATACTTATAAAGTTTTAATATTTGTCATGGTACCGATTTTCTTTATATGAAATCATTTTTATAATAGAATTATTATCATGTAAGGGCTTTACTGGAGAACACAGAAGGCATAGGTATAGAAACATGATATATCATTGAAAAGCAATTTTATTTGGGTTTCGATTTTTTAAATAATATACATAGGCTTGATTTTAAAATCACAATGATTTGAACGATTTTATAACAAACGGAAATAATTATTTTTTCTGACCTCCCTGTTTCATATCCAATCCTGATTTAGACAGATCAAATATGTCGACTTTCCTTAACCTATAAACCAAATTTCAGCTTTTAATATGCAGAATTTATGATTTAACCAATGAGTATTCATGTCTCTATCAATTCAAAGGTCATGTTTTTGTCAATTTTACACATGTTTTATTTTATATCTCGAAACTAATTATTAGAGATTAGTATAGGTTATTATAATCAGTGGTGAATAGAGAGGGGGGCCCATGGGGTCAAGGTCCCCCCTAAAATCTATAAATTGGGTTAAATATTAAGCTTTTGGTTTAAAAGTGACGCTCTAAAAAGCATATTCTACATTACTTTTTATTTGGGCTCCACTAAAATAAATTCCTGTATCCGCCCCTGAGTATAATAAAAAAAATTGAGATATGAAAGTGGTTTCAAAAAATATAATAATACACCGGGCATTCCATTTAAAATAACAAAGATGCTACTACTTTTAGTATGAAGCGGCAACACTGTAATGCTGAAAATAATTTAGACACATGGAGCAGGTACCTTTATGAAAAAATACAAATTTTCAAAAATATCCAATCACCGATTCAGATGAAATTGAAATATAAAAGAGATCAGAGATGGCCAACTAATCTCATGAGAATTTTACTGCTTACCTTAAAATCAGTTGTAATCCTAAATTAATGGAAAAGATCGTGTTTGCACAATAATGTTCAATATTCGGCTAATTTGAAATACTAAACACTAGTCGAACACTTACTTGGGAATCAAACAAAATTTATCAAAATGATGTGATATCCCCAGAGGCAAAAACACATTCACAACAGTACCAAAGTGCTATTTATTAACACCTTATAGAAGAATGGGATGTACGTACAACAAAAACTGACCAGAACTTCTTTTTTATCTATAAAATCGATACCAAATTTAGAGGAGCAAATGTATCGAGCAATGGAAAAGTTCGATACTCTGGAATGTAAATACCAAATGCAGCTAAAGGTGGAAATATTAATATGTAACGAGTATTCTATGTTATTTAATAAATTACACTTAGGTATCTATATATATATATATATATATATATATATATATATATATATATATATATATATATATATATATATATATATATATATATATATATATATATATATATATATATATATATATATATATATATATATATATATTTAATCAATGTGTGGTAACACAAAATTAAGTCTAAACCAATCTAGTCTAAAGATCGAATAACAAAATATCGATCTTTCTGCT